ACAGGAGGCTGGAAGAACACAGCAAGCCAGGCAGCATCGGGAGGAAAGGAGCAGTCAATGTTTCAGATATTACCCTACCTGAAATGTTGACTGCTCCTTTCCTCCTGATGCTGCCTGACTTGCTGTGTTCTTCCAGCCTCCCGCTTGTTTACCTTGGATTCCAGCATCTGCAGATTTTTTTTGTCTCTAATCAAAAATTGACTTGATGATGGTGACCATGACAACTATTGATTTCTATTTACAATGTCTTTCAGGGAAATCTCCATCCTTCCTTGATCTGGCCCATATGTGACTCCAGACTCACAGCAGTGTTGTTGATTCTGAACTGGCTGAGGAAGCCCCCCCAGTTCAAAAGCAATTAAGGATGGACTGGCCTTGCCTGCTACGCTGTCAAAATAAAGAAAATATTTTTATGTGTATGGCCACTGTGCAGTAAATTGTCTAAAATACCTTTACTCAAGGACTTCAGACATGGGTTCTACTACTGAGTTGGTCAGTATGTACACATAGCCAGAGGATAAAGCTTGCACATCACTTGAATCACATTTCAAGAGGGTCTAGATGTCTGAAATGTTTAATAACAGCGTGTTCACTCTGTAGGCAGCAAGGTTAGACTGAAATGTTTCCCTCCAAAATGGCCCAGTTTGAAAAATATATCCTTGAGGATTTGGCCATCTCAGTCAGTTGTGAAGCTGCTGAGTGGCTCTTGGTGGTACACATTGAATCCCACAACCAGAATACATTCTGTCTCCTCGCTACTCTCAGTACTTCCTCCAAGTTTTGTTCAACACGGAGCAGTACTGATTCATCAGCTGAGGGAGAGCAGCACATGTTAGGCAGCAGGATATTTCATTGCCCATGTTTGACCTGATATCATGAGACTTCGTGAGGCTTAGAATCAGAGTTGAAGACCTCAGGCAATTCCCTACTAATTGTATATCACGGCACCACCATCTCTGCTGGGTCTGCTGTGTCCAGTGGCGGTGATGGTGGTGTCTGGGATATTGTCTGTAAGGTATGATTCTGTGAGTATGACTATGTCAGTCTGTTGCTTGTGTACTCTGTGCGACAGCTCTCCCAATTTTGGCACATTCCCCAAGATGTTGGTAAGGAAGACTTCTCAAGGCCAATGAGGCACTGTCGGTTTTTTCCTCTGGTGCCTAGGTTGATACTAGGTGGTCCGTCAGTTTCATTCCTTGTTTGAGACTTTCTACAATATGATACAACTCAGTGATTTCCTAGGGCTGTTTCAGAGGGCAGGTAAGGGTCAATCACATTGCTGTGGATCTGGAGTCACATGTAGGCCAGGCCAGGTAAGGATGGTAAATTTCCTTCTGTAAAAGACATTGGTGAACCAGAGGATTTTTTTCTTCATCTTATGGCCATTATTCAACTTGCAATTTTATATTTTATTTCGTTTTGAATCCAAATTCTACCATCTGCCTTGGTGGGATTTGAAACTGCAGCTCCACAACATTGCCTGGACCATTTGATAAACAGTCCAGTGGCAATGAATATCAGTAGGCCATCACCTCCCCTCGCCCTCTTTAGGGATGACCATAACTAGAGGCATCAATATAAAATAGTCACCGCGAAACTCAAGTAGGGAATATAGATGTAACAATTTCAAGTGAGTGGTGGGAATGTGGAATAGTCAAAATGATTGTGTGATTGCATTTAAACAGATGCCAGGGAAACGTATGAGGGAAAAGGAATAGAAGGTTACAATGTTGATGAAGAAAATGGAAGATGTAGTGATTGTAATGAGGTCAGCCCAGTTGACCTCAGGGAATAACAGTTCTCTGATTTGGGGCTGTTAATTTGGTCCAATCAGGGAGCCCTGGCTGACAGATATAGACAGGAATGTCAGAGATTCTGTTCACTCCAGGAGCTGGCTCTGAGCTAACTGGGTCAGTGTCATGCACTATGTATGTGTAAATAAAGGGTGGTTTGGTATCCCGGCCTCTATGGAGTTATTTCATCCTGAGCAGAGCGCAAACACAATAATGGACTGCACTGTCTCTGATCCATTTCCAATTTTGTATGAGGGGGACTCTGTGCTGTTATCAGGCTGCTATATCTGCCCAGAGACCCATGAAATCTGGCAAGCGACAACTCCATGAATGCAGGTAAAATAGACTCATACAATAGGGCCCACTCTGGGCACCCATTTTCTCCATCCCCGCACTTACCCTCTTTCTGCTGGCTCACTGGGAAAGACAGCTGGCAGCGACTGCAGGACCTTCAAGCAGTTAATCAACCATTGTCTGTCTGCATCAATTTCCATCAAAGTAAGAATTCAGGGTGACGATGGTTCAAGGAGGAAGGCTACTGTGTTATCGAGAAGGTTCACTCAGAGGAATTCCTGGGAATCAGTAACGGAGGATCCTAGTGATGTTTAGTAACATTCTCCAGGTCAGGAATAGAGGAGTTAAAAAGAAAGTACAGTCTTACCTTTTTTTCCCCTGCTTTGAATAGAAAGTTCCACTTCCCTGAAATATCCAGAAGGAAACGTGTGAATCCCTTAACTCCCCATTCCTCCTCCATCATTCAGCTTCATGTGAAGACAAGACTTACTAGTATATTACCTCTTCATATTCACAACAACTCTACTTTCTCACACTTGGGAGTGCTGCACTGTTATTCATAGAATCCCTACAGTGCGGAAGCAGGCCATTCAGCCCTTCGAGTCCTTACCGACCCTCCAAAGAGTATTCCATCAAGACCCATCCCCCTACATTTCCCATGGTTAATGAACCTAACCTAAACATCCTTGAGCACATCCTTGGGCGATTTAGCATGGCCAATTCACATAACCTGCACATCTTTGGACTGAGGGAAGAAACCGGAGCACCCGGTGGAAACTCACACAGACAGTAGCCCAAAGTTGGAATCAAACCTGGGTACCTGGCACTGTGAGGTAGCAGTGCTAACCACTGAGCCTCCATGCCACTGCTTTTTGATGGCAACCCTGAATTGGAAGTTAATCTCAGTGATGGTGAGCATGAAATGATCATAAATTATTGTAAAAGCCATCTGATTCACTTATGCCCTTTAGAGAGGGAAATCTGCCATCCTTACCCAGTCCAGCCTACCTGCGTCTGTATCTGCTTTCCGGAGGGACCGCTCTCTCCATGACTCCCTTTTCCGCTCCACACTCCCCACTAGCCCCACCACACCCGGCACCTTTCCCTGCAACCATAGGATGTGCTACACCTGCTCCTACACCTCCCCCTCATCTCCATCCCAGGCCCCAAAAATACATTCCACATCAGACAGATGTTCACCTGTACATCTGCTAATGTGGTATACTGTATTCGCTGTTGCCAATGTGGCCTCGTCTACTTCGGGGAAACCAAGCAGAGGTTCGGAGACCTATTTATGGAACACCTAAGCTCTGTTTGCGACAAACAACTGCACCTCCCAGTCGCGAACGACTTCAACTCCCCCTCCCACTCCTTGGACGACATGTCCATCCTGTGCCTCCTCCAGTGCCACAAGGATGCCACCCGAAGGCTGCAGGAAGTGCACCTCATATTCCGCTTGGGAACCCTGCAGCCCAATGGTATCAATGTGGACTTTACAAACTTCAAAATATCCCCTCCCCCGACCTCATCCCAAGACCAGCCCTCTCATCCCCGCCTCCTTGACCTGTCCGTCTTCCCACCCACTTACTCACCCCTCCCTCCTCACTGACCAACCCCCATCCCAACTCCCTACCTACACTCACCTTTACCAGCTCCATCCCCGTCTCCTTGACCTGTCTGTCTCCTCTCCACCTATCTGCTCCTCTATCCACCTTCCATCATCGCCTCCCCCTCTCTCTCTATTAATTTCAGAGCCCCCTTCCCCTCCCCCATTTGTAAAGAAGGGTCCAGACCCGAAACGTCAACTTTCCTGCTTCTCTGATGCTGCCTGGCCTGCTGTGTTCCTCCAGCTCCACATTGTATTATCTCTGACTCCAGCATCTGCAGTTCGTACTATCTCAGGCCAAACCTTCTGTTTTTGTTCCTGACCAAGCGAAGCTTCCAGATATCAACATCGCTCACAAAATCAACATTAAAACATCAATATTCCTCCTCAAATCAAAGTAAAAAATCACGGTAAATAGTCAAAATGCAATGCAGGGAGGTATACACGTCACTGTTATAATTTATTTACAGTTTAAATCCTGGGATATCGCAGTAGGTCGCGGTATTTGAGTTTTTATTCCGGTTTATTAAGAGAGACAGGTGCTGGTTAAAACAAAGTTTGCTGCGGATTCTGAAATACACCTTTGAATGTTTGCATCTCTATCGGCCCATCCGCTAACCTAATTTGTCAGTGCACTTCAGCAGCTCAGTTTTAATGCCCTCATAGTTGCCTTTTTTTTAAGTTTAAAATACTTGTTTAAAATATTAAGCACTGAAATACCACACATTCGTAAAAGAGAGGTTTTTCTGCCTATTTTGAACAGACAGCTGTGGAAATAATCTCAGCATAAACATATTAAGGAATGGTCAGGAGCTGCTGTCAAGGTGGATTTCAGTTCCAGAAAGGGCAGTCAGGGGTTAAAATGGCTTGTGTGCATCCACTCAGATGTAGCATTGCTGTTCCTTTATCAAACTCACAGGTATTGCACACAACCTCTGCTCTGTTTTATAGGGCAAGATTCTGCCACTCAGAGGTGGCCTGTTAATATTGCAACTAAACTGGGAGCTGACAACATCAGCTGTGAGAAACTCAAAATGTAAATAAAATCCATATGTATATTGAACTCATCAGTTCTAAATATGCATACCTCTCTGGCAGCTATTCCTAGGCAAACTATTGCTTGGTGTCCTTACTGGTGGGTTAACCTGCTTGAGCAGTTATCAGCTTCTGGGATTATTTTGTGACCAAATTTAACATTAACTTAGAAAAAGAAGACTTTCATTTACAAAACACCTTTTATGGCCACTAGTGCTGTCTCTGTACAGACAATGAAGTACAAAGAAACAGAAGCAAAACAGCATCTGCTGTTTTTATTTTATTGATGTACTTTATTGGTTATATAACACAATGGAAACATGGCAGCATAATGCAACAGGAAGTTTAGTACTTCAATACCAGATGAACCTTGGTGCCATAGGAGAAAGCTGGTTGTCGCAATATATGAGGAAATATAATATAGAAGGAAGCTCAGTTCTGTAATATGTGAGGAAGATTGACATTGTAATACAGCAGGAAGCTTGATGCTGTAATATAGGATGTTCAGAGCTACAATATTTCATAGGGAACAAAAAAAACTCATTAAAAGTACTGGGAGGAAGATGTTTGGTCATATTGCTAGAGTCCAGTTTGTGACACACACCAGTTTTACAGATTTTTTTCCTTCTGGGATAGGAAGAAACTTGGTGCTATAATATAGGAAGAAGGTCAATATATCAATACAGGAGGAATTCTGAGGAATATAGTTCTGAGGAAGGGTCGTTTGACCTGATACGTTAACTCTGATTTCTCTCCACAGGTGCTGACAGACCTGCTGAGCTCTTCCAGCAATTTCTATGTTGTAATGTATGAATGAATCTCAGTTCTATAATATATGGGGAAGCTGAATGTTGCAATAAAGGAGGTTGCTCAATACTGTAATATAAGAGGAAGCTTGGGAAGAAGATCAGTGCTGTGATATAGAATGCTTGATGCCGTATTATAAGAGGAAGCTCAGTACTGTAATGTAGGAGAATACTTTGTATTGCAATATAGGAAGAAACTGAATGTACTAATATTGGAGGAAGCTTAGGATTAAAATTCAGCAATAGTGTCACAATCATCTTTGAATTTAATCAATCCTGAAAGAGTGAAGACGCAAAATCCTGCTGTTTCTGCTCTGTAGTAAATGGCGTGTATGGATTAAATGTGTATGCCCCCACACAGCAGGCACTTAGTTTTACTGTTGACTTTGTCTATGCCCAGCTGACTGAGTTCTTCCTTAAAAACTGAAATCAACCGTCTCTCCTCGGTGTGATTGTAGAATGCATCTTGGCACAACCTGGGAAAGTAGGCAGACGCTGCACCACTTACTCTTATGGAACTCGCTGGGAAAAGAACATAGACAGTGTTAGGAAGTTTACTCATACTGACCTCTATGAGTTATTTGTATCACTGGCTGGATCTCCAAAGAAAATTTGTCAAAGATTGTCCCCAGGTAGACTGTTGTATAGGGCAATGGTTTCTGAAGGGACTGGAATTTGCATTGAGCTCTATCCAATTTGATGATGCCATGAGGGCTTGAACTGGGAGAAGCTAGAGCAGCTCACAATCTCGGGGACTGAAGGCCTGTATTGTAGCTCTCTTGATTGTCTTAGTAACAACGTTTATATCATTAATGTAATTAGTCCCTGATTCTGACATGCAATAAACTTTAAGATGAGATCCTCTTCTCCTTAAGAATCACTTGGTGGCAACAAACGACCCTAGACATCCAAAAACAAGCATAATATCTGTGGTGAAGATTGAAATTTGATTTAGTGGCACTATGCAACACAGTGACAGTGAGAATTTTAGTAGCCCCAGGAGCAGTAGAGTCACAGAGTCATAGAGATGTACAGCACAGAAACAGACCTTTCAGTCCAACTCATCCATGCTGATCAGATTTCCTAAATTAATCTAGTCTCATTTGACAGCATTTGGTCCATATATCTTTAAACCCTGAAACAAGACAGAAGTTGCTGGAAAAGCTCAGCAGATCTGGCAGCATCTGTGAAGAGAAATCAGAGTTAATGTTTCGGGTCAAGTGACCATTCCTCCAAACTCTTCTAAACCTTTCTCATTCATATACTCATTCAGATGCCTTTTCTAATTGTACCAGCCTCCACTACTTCCTCTGGCAGTTCATTCCAGACATGCTCCACCATCTGTGTGAAAAAGTTGTTCCTTACATTGCCTTTAAATCTTTCCCTTGAACCTATACCCTCTCGTTTTGGACTCCTCTGCCTTGGGGAAAAGAGCTTGACTATTCACCCTATCTAAGCCCTTATGTACTGGATGTTTACAGCTTTATGGTTTTAAGACCACTCCAACAGCTGCAGATGATGAGCAATAAAGCAGTTGAGCAGTTACGTCATCTACAGAGAAAAGATCAACAAAGGGGAAAAAGCACTTCATGGTAAAACCTTTCACTTAAGACATGAAAGGAAGATCAGAAGGAGCTAGAAGCAAGTCACGTTTGCCAATTAGAGATTTGTTGGAGTGAGAATCTGTAGAAGCATTCCCAATTAGATGTTCATTCAGGAAGCGAATGGACATTGGGGCTCTATGAGTAAAACTAAACATCCCAACAGAGCAAAACTAAACTTGAAATTATTGGAGTAGAGTGGGTAATAAGGCTAGACGTTAAAGAAGGTGTACTTACAGCTCACGATGAATGTGTCGTCACAATGAGTGAACATCACAATTCACGGCTACAGTAACAAGATCAAAGGCCATGGAAGTAATTTCAACAAGGGTCACAGAAATGGTAACATTATGAAGCCAGAATTAAGATGACAAAGAGACATTCAAAGCCTGAAAAAGGCAAAGTCTAAGAAAAGAACATAGTAAAGGGTCTACTGAAGCTGCAGGAGGCATCAGGCTTTACTGGGAAATGACATTCTTTCTTAGGCCATGATTGGCATGAAATCATCGATTTTGTCTGCAAGAAAGTGAAAGCTTCCACTTCACCTGCGAAAGTCAGGAAACACGCATAAAGCAGTACAGAGCTGTTAAATTACAGGGTTTAAATGAATGTAAGATGTAAGAACAGATCATTGTTACACAATTGGCTCGGAGTGATTGTGTTGAACTTTTAATTGCGTTGTTGTGGAGGAACCCAAAAAGAAGAAAAATTGTTCTGAGATTGGCTACGATGCTATCAGAAACAAGTTTCATTTGACTGAGAAGAACCAATGGTCGGTAAGTCAAAACAAATTCAAGCAAACTTGACCAGAACAATGACTGATTGTGAATGCGTATGAATGGTAGCTAGAGGTCACCATGAAATTAGTCTTTTTTTTCTCTGTTTTGATCCACTTCCTATCAGGCAAGGACCACAACACAAAAACGGTCCCAATCTGTATCACATTGTCAATCTGATTGATTGAACAGGTATATGTCAGCTATAACTTATTGGTCCTGATGTGAGGCTGAGGCACTTCAGTGCTGCTTCAGGCTGCAGTTAAATTTTAACCAAAGTTGTTCATCATTGGTCTAAGGTACAAGGCTTTTTTTTTCAAATGCAGCAAAGACCATTGATTCTTACAAAGGGCCAACGGTTTCCTTGATCCTTGAGGCCTCCCTTACCGATCTCCTGAGGATCTTAATACTCATTCCTTTATGGCATCATTACAATCTCCCTCAAGGGCCTGAATACTCCCTCAGCTGAGGGTCTCTGATTCCCTTCTTGAGGACCTCAATACCCCACCCCCCCAAAAACCTCGATCCTTGCTCAGCCAGTAACAGTCCTTTCCCTGAGGTCGCCACACACCCATGGAGGTCTCATTGCTCCCTCTTCTGACGGCTCAGTCCTCCATGGATTTATTTCACTAACAGCTCCATTACCACGACGAATGCCATGGCACAAAAAAGTGAGTTGGTGCCACCATCTGCCTTCATAAAGACAACGAGGGGCTGGGAAATAAACACCAGCCTTGCCAAGGATGCTCACACTGAGACAATCAAAAACAAAGCACACTGTGTGGGTAATTGTAACTGACATCCCTGATTGAGGTACTGGATGTGGGCCCTAATTCCACCCTTTTACTGGTCCCCAAATAATTCTAGTTAAAATTTAAAATGCTGGCAGCGTGCACAGGAAATGCTTTTTTACATTTTTTAAATTTTGCCTGTAAATATTTCACATTTCACTGAGTTCACATTATTCACATGTATAATGGCTGTTGGTTAAGGCTAACTCAGCCAGCCAGTTAAATACACAGGTATACCTCAACACTGGCGTGTGCTGATGGTCAGAACTGGGAGTTATGGACATTTCCTTATTGTGTAAAAGAAATAACAATGTGTTCATTCTGCATTGAAGGTCTGTGTTGAAGTCCAGTGCAGAACATGCTTGAACTTGTAGGTTTAGCTGGGTCTCCCTTCTATGTAAAGGACATAGTCCCAGGACAAACTCAGGGGGAATGATTGAAATGTTGTAGATTAATTCAAATAAGAACTTTATAATATATAAGCATTGGATAGGCCCTACATGTGGACAGTTCAGAAAACTGCCCTTTAGGTTAGTCATTGGCTTACGTTTTACTGAATGTTTCCCCCATGAACACCCAGGACTCCAGCCTCTTCTCTCTCCCACACCTTAATGCCCCCAGACATACGCCACCCAACCCCCACCCCTCCATCACTGACTCACTCAAGTCCCCAGCCTCCATGTAATCTGCCCATGACCTGCTGCCCTCTTGCAGAGTGTAGCCCAGGCCCCTGGCAACGACCACACACAGCACTTTCAAACGATTGCAAACTGTCTGCTACAAGGGTCCTGAAGATGGGTGGTAATCACAGGGAGCTTTACACGAAGGAGCATGCATCGCCCATAAATTATTACACACGGGAACCCGCCACATGACGCGGTGAAACTCAACATGATGCTGACATAATCTTTTCACCTCAAACCACCAATGGTAAACCAGTATTTCACTTCCTACCCCATTCAGCCACCGTTAGCTACTCATAGAATCATACAGCATAGAAATAGACCCTTTGGTGCAACCAGTCCACGCCGACCATAATCCCAAACTAAACTGGTCCCACCTGCCTTCGCTTGACCCATATCCCTCCATACATTTCTTATCCAAACATCTTTTAATTTTGTAACTGTATCTGCATCCACCACTTCCTCAGGAAGTTCATTCCACACATGAACCACTCTCTGTGTTAAAAAATTGCCCCTCATGTCTTTTTAAAATCTTTATCCTCTCACTTTTCCCCAGTCTTGAAATCCCCCACCCTAGGGAAAAGACACCTGCTATTCACCTTATCTGTATCCCTCATTATTTTATAAATCTCTATAAGGTCACATCTCAACCTCTGATGCTCCCAGCCTATCTAGCTTCTCCTTATAACTGAAACCCTTCATTCCTGGTAACATCCTGGTAAATCCTGCAGGCTCCACAATATCCAAAATTTACCTGCACTCCCCTTCTCCCAACCCCTGGCCTCTTAAGGTCTGGTTGATTTTGAGAAGTTTTATGGTGCTGTGAATTGTGGGTGTTTCCTTGCTCAAGCGCCTCTTCTTCACTAGCAACTCTTAAAGAGGAATTAGTCTGTAATATTGTGTTGAGGGGCATTTAGAAACACAGCCGTGGGCTGGGGTGTTGCCATGGAACAACATCCAGCCTGAGACTGCAAGCACCACACACATACAGACACACACACACATATACAGACAGATACACACAGACACACGCACACACACACACACACTCTCACGTATCTTCACAGTCACACACACTCTCACGTATCTTCACAGTCACACACACTCTCACATATCTTCACAGACACACACACACACACATACACACACATATACAGACAGATATACATACAGACAGATATACACACACACATACATACAGACAGATACACACACACACGGATACACAAACACACGCACACACACAGCTGTGCACACACAGACACACACATGCACATACACAGACACAGACACACACACACACACGCACCAAGTTCACAACACTGTAACAGAAAGACGTACCTGAGCAGACAGCCAACCTATTCCCTCCAAGGTACTGCGTGCTCCAGGTATAATCATTGCCTTCTCCACACGTTTCATACAGTCGCGTTCTTCTTAAGAAATCAAAATCATAACCCTGTACAAGCACAGTGAGTATATTTCAGCATGGGTTTGACTTCCACTTCGCGAAGAAATATCTTTTACAGCATGAGCCTGTGAAATTTTACAGCCTGCAAGACTGAACTCAAGTGGTTTCAGAACTGCTGTCAGCAAAATTGACCATAATGTCCCAGATTCATCAAGCTCTCTCTCAACTGTGAATGGCAACAATATAAGGAAATCTCCACATTTTCTTATCACTGACCAAGTCCCAATGGAGACAGATGTATTGTCTCTGGCTCCTGATAATTTTGTAATTACACCTAACTAGTCAATGTAAATTGTACCTACTGTTGTTTTGTAATAAACTATATCTTGCTGTGTAAAACAAGTGCCTCTTCTTGTTAAGATTCAATTGTGTGTTATTATCTACCACTGCTAATTAGATCATAGAATCCCTACGGTGTCAAAGCAGGCCATTCAACCCATACCAAACTTCAAAACATCATCCCACCCAGACCCATACCTCATTCCTGTAACTCTGCATTTCCCGTGGCAAATCCACCTAACCTGCACATTATCAGACTGTTGAACGAAACCAGAGCACCCAGAGGGGGCTCACACAGACACAGGGAGAATGTGCAAACTCCACACAGACAGTCACCAGGGTAGAATTCAACTGGGTCCCTGGGAGTGCGAGGCAGCCGTGCTAACCACTGAGCCACCGTACTTAGAAAAAGCTGAAGAAGGAGTAATGAGCCCCATGGGGACTAGAATACAGCATCATCTAACAAAATGACTTTTAATTTAAAATTCTGTAACATTCCTTTGTGTCATTTTGTTACAATGCACTTAGGAGCTGTTGGTTCTAATTTGGTCCAATGTGGTTTAATTTGATCAAATGTTTTATTTGAAGGGGAGAGGTTAAGGCAATTGCCTAGTACCATTATCCTGGACTGTTAATACAGAGACCCAGATAATGTTCTGGAGACCTGGGTTCAAATCCTACCATGGCAGATGATGGAGTTAGAATCGAATTTTAAAAAAATCTGGAATTAAGAATCTAATGATGACCGTGAATCCATTGTCAATTGTTGGGAAAAACCCATCTGGTTCACTAATGCCCTTTAGGGAAGGAAACTGCCATCCTTACTTGGTCTGGCCTACATATAACTCCAGACCCACAGCAATGTGGTTGACTCTTAACTGCCCTCTGGGCATTTGGGGATGGGCAATAAATGATGCCTACCCAGTGAAACCCCCATCCCATGAATGAATAAAAAAAAAATTTAACATACCAGAAACTAGGTTTGGTGATGGCTCCCTATCCCAAACATAAGTTTTGGGACCTCACAATATAACATATGTTTACGTTGGAACGTACAAAGGAATTACACTTCTGTGTGCATGCACTGTGTGTGTATGCTTCTCAGAACGTTATTTCAGATATGCTCTCCTGGGATGTGAGAGTTGCTGTAGAGAAAACAGTTCCAGGACTATGACCCAATGGCAGTGAAGGAATAACGGTATATTTCCAAGTCAGGATGGTGAGCGGCTTGGAGGGGAACTTGCAAGGGGTGTTATTCCCAGATAGCTGCTGTCCCTGTCCTTCCCAGGTTTTGAAGATGATATTGAAGGTGTCTTTGTAAGTTACTGCAATTTATCTTGTAAATGGTACTCACTGCTGCTACTTAGTGGTGAAGGGACTGAATATTGAAAGTCGTGGGGTAGGGTGCCAATCAAATGGGCTGCTTGTCCTCAGTGGTACCGAGATTCTTGAGTGTTGTTGGAGCTGCTTGTGACCAAGAAAGTGAGGAGTATTCCATTACACTCTTGACTTACACCATTAGAGATGGTGGACAGGCTTTGGGGGTTAGGAGATAAGTTATTTGCTGCCAGATTTATAGTTTCTGACCTGCTGTAGGAGCAACAGTATTTACATGGCGAATCCAATTCAGTTTCTGCTCTATGCTAATCCCCACGCTATTAACAGAGATGGAAAAGTTGTTAAATGTCAAAGGGCAGTGCTTGGATTCCCTCTTGTGGAAGATGGTCACTGCCTCTTACTTGTGTGCTGTGAATGTTAATTGTCCCAATCCAAGCTGATAATGTGTGGAATGTTTCAGTACAGATTTGTGTCCTTTGTGTGTGAATGTATCTCAGGCTACTGCAGGCAAGCTCATGGTTTTATTTAATTCATTTATCAGTGAGGGACAGCATGGTTTTGTGCAGGGGAGGTTGTGCCTCACTACCTTGATGGAGTTTTTTGAGGAGGTGACGAAGACGATTGATGAGGGAAAAGTGGTTGGTGTTGTCTACATGGACTTCAGTAAAGCCTTTGACAAGGCACCTCATGGCAGATTGGTACAAAAGATGAAGTCACATGGTATCAGGGTTGTGTTGGCAAGATAGATACAGAACTGGCTTAGTCACAGGAGACAGAGGTTAGCAGTGGAAGGATGCTTTTTGGAATGAAGTGTTGTGACTAGTGTTCCACAGGGATCAATACTGGGACCACTGCTGTTCGTGGTCTACATAAATGATTTGGCGGAAAACGTAACTGGTCAATTAGTAAGTTTGCGAATGATACAAAGATTGGTGGAGTTGTGGTTAGTGAGGCGGAATTTCAGAGGATACAGCAGGATATAAATCAGTTAAAGGCATGGGCAGCGAAACAGCAGATGGAGTTTAATCCAGACAACTGTGGGGTGATGCATTTTGGAAGGTCAAGTACAGGTGGTAATTACACAGTGAATGGCAGAACCTTTAGGAGTATTGATATTCCTAGGGATCTGCGTGTGCAGGACCACAGATCACTGAAGGTGGCAGCGCAGGTAGATAAGGTAATAAAAAAGGCCTATGGCATGCTTGCCTTCATTGGAAGGGGCATTGAGTATAAGGGTAGATCAGTTATGCTGCAGCTTTATAGAACTTTAGTTAGGCCACACACGGAATATTGCATACAGTTATGGTCACCACACTACCAGAAGGATGTGAATGCTTTGGAGAGGATACAGAAAAGGTTTACCAGGATGTTGCCTGTTATGGGAGATTTTAGCTATGAAGAAAGGTTGGATAGACTGGGTTTGTTTTCACTGGAATGCAGGAGGTTGAAGGGGCGAACTAGGGGACACAGGTTCAGGGTGCAGGGAGGAAGTTTAAAAGAGATGTGCGAAGCGTGTTTTTCACACAAAGGGTGTTGAGTGTCTGGCACACGTTGCCAGAGGAGGTGGTGGAAGCAGACACAATAGCAGCGTTCAAGAATCACCTGAAGGAACACTTGAGGAGGAAGGGAATAGAGGGATATGGACACTGTAAGAGAAGACCATTTTAGTGTGGAAGGGCAAAATGTGTCGACACAGGTTTGGAGGGCCGAACAGTCTGTTCCTGTGCTGTATTGTTGGCCTTGTTCTTTGTTCATTCATGGGATGTGGGCATCACCATCTGGCCTGCATTCATTGCATAATTACCCAGAGGGCAGTTAAGAGTCAGCCACATTGCTGTGGATCTGGAGTCACATGTAGGCTAGACATGCATAGCAGAAATCATTCTTTAAAGGACACTAATGAACCAGATGTGTGTTTCCTGACAATTAACTATGGTTACATGAATCACAAAATGTTGGTTTGCAGGTGCAGCAGGTAATTAAGAAGGCAAATGGAATATTGTCCTTCACTGCTAGGGGTGTGGAGTTTAAAAGCCGTAAGGTTATATTGTAGCTGTATTGGGTGCTGGTGAGACCACACCCGGAATACTGTGTACAGGTTTGGTCTCCTTACTTGAGAAAGAATGTACTGGCACTGGAGGGCCTGCAGAGGAGGTTCACTAGGTTGATTCCAGAGTTGAGAGAGTTGGCTTATGAGGAGAGATTATGAGTAGACTGGGACTATGCTCATTGTAATTTAGAAGAATGAGGGGGGAGCTTATAGGAACAAATAAAATTATGAAGGAATAGATAAAATAGAAACAGGGAGGTTGTTTCCACTGGCAGGTGAAACCAGAACTAGGGGGCATAGGCTCAGAATAAAGGGGAGCAGATTTAGGACTGAGTTGAGGAGAAACTTCTTCACCCAAAGGGTTGTGAATCTGTGGAATTCCCTGCCCAATGAAGCAGTGAGGCTACGTCTTTAAATGTTTTAAAGGAAAAGATTTTTGAACAGCAAAGGAATTAAGGGTTATGGTGATCAGGTGGGTAAGTGGAGCTGGGTCCACAAAAAAGTCAGCCATGATCTTATTGAATGACAGAGCAAGCTCAATGGGCCAAATAGCCTAGTCCTGCTCCTATTTCTTATGATCTTATGTAACCATTGGACCACTTATTTTTTAAATTCCAGGTTTTTATTCAAATCTGCCACAGTGAGATTCAAACCCATGCTCCCAGAATATTAGCTTTAGATTTTGGGTTAAACATTTAGTATGCTGACCATCTCCACCGACTCTGCTACCCTGCTGTAACTTGTCACCTCTTTCACTTAGTCCTGTAACCATCTTGGTGCTGTACTTCTGTTTGTCTGACCTTGAACCTTGAATTAACTAACCACATTATCCAACTAAACATCAACCAGATTTCCTTCTATGGACGACCTGTGGGAAAGTCTGCACCAGCACATTTCAAGTGGTTTGACAATGATTGATTTAAGTCATAAATAGCCAAACACTAATTTGACTATGATTGTAAGGCAGTGGATGAATCTTGAACTGAGCCATACCCCGAATGACTATTTGCTTTCTCCACATACTGGTGCATCTTTATTGAGAGATTACCTCAGAACCATCAATGTTAACATTTGGCTCCCATGTAGTGGATCAGTCATGAACTAGTCTCAGCCAATATTGTGGTGATATCTATGGAAAAGCCATTGGGACACCAAGTGCAAGGAAGATGAGGAATGAAGAAGATTGGAAATGTTTCTGAGGAGTCAGAGATTGGTGTTGCAAAGCTGTGAGTTTGCACCTGGTTACACATTGGCTTGCAATAGCGGGTTTTATTATGAGTCATACATATCAGGCCTCCATTTGCAGGGATCTGTGGAAAGCTGCAGTTCTTGGGATGAACATTCCGGCAGGCTGTAACAAAAGGAGACACAAGAGAACATTACACCTCCGCCAGCATAGACAGAAAGCAACAACTCACCTTTCTCAGCAGCCATTCAGAACATCAGGACATCCCAAAGCAATTCTCTGAAAAACTTTCAAAGTGCAGTCACCATTGTAAAGCAGGAAACACAGCCAACTTTCACACAGCAAGATCCCACAATCAGTAAAGTGATGGTGACCATTAATCTGTTTTAGTGATGTTAGTTGAGGGGTACATACTGGTTCAGATCACTGGGAACACCTCTCCTACTCGTTTCTAAAGTGTGAAGGGATCTCCAACATTCACTTGAAGATAACCTTCAATAACAACAGAAAACATTCATCTCTCTCCCTGCAGTGTAAAGACGGTTCTTTTCATTTTTCATTTTATCATCCTACATGTCACACTCTTCATCTCAGTTGTATTGACTTCAAAACACCCTCCCCTTCTCTTAACTCAGTCGTACAGTACGGGAACAGACCCTATTGTCCAACTTGTCCATGCTGACCAGATATTCCAATCTGACCTAGCCTCATTTGCCAGCATTGGTCCATATCCCTCTAAACCCTTCCTATTCATGTACCCATCCAGATGCCTTTTAAATGTTGGAGATAGTAAGAACTGCCGATGCTGGAGTCAGAGATAACACAGTGTGGAGCTGGAGGAACAGAGCAGGCCAGGTAGCATCAGATGAGCAGGAGAGTCGACGTTTTGGGTCGGGATGGTTCTTCAGAAATGAACAAGGTCACCAACCAGAAATGTCAACTTCCTGCTCCTCTGAAGCTGCCTGGCCTGCTGTGTTCCTCCAGCTCCACACCATGTTATCTCTGCCTTTTAAATGTTGTAATTGTACCAGCCTCCTTTCTCTGGCAGCTCATTCCATACAGGCATCACCCTCTGCGTGAAAACGTTGCCCCTCAGGTTCCTTTTAAATCTTTCCCCTCTCACCTTAAACCTATGCCCCTCTAGCTTTGGAATACCCCCACCCTTGGCAAAAGACCTTGGCTCTTCACCCTATCCATGCCCCTCATGATTTTATAAACCTCTATAAAGTCATCCCTCAGCCTCTGACACTCCAGGGAAATAAGCCCCATCCTGTTCAGCCTTTGCCTATAACTTAAACCTTCCAATCCTAGCAACATCCTTGTAAATCTTTTCTGTACCCTCGCAAGTTTAACAAGATCCTTTCTATAGAAGTGTGATCAGATTTGCATGTAGTTTTCTAAAGGTGGCCTCATCAATGTCCTGTGCAGCTGGAATATGACATCCCACCTCCAATACTTAATGTTCTGACCAATGAATGCAGGCGTGCCAAACGCCTTCTTCACCACCCTGTTTACCTACATCTCCACTTTCAAGGAACTATGCACCTGCACCCCTAGGTGTCTTTGTTCGGCAACACTCCCCAGAGCCCTACCATTAACTATGTAAGTCCTGCCCTGGTTTGCCTTTCCAAAATGCAGCATCTCATATTTATCTAAATTAAACTCCATCTGCCACTCCTTGGCCCATTGCCCCTTTGATCAAGATCCCGTTGTACTCTCAGGTAACCTTCTTCACTGTCCACTACACCTCCTATTTCGGTGTCATCTGCAAATGTACTAAACCATATCTCCTAAGTTCACATCCAAATCATTATGTAAATGACAAAAAGCAGTGTACCTATCACCGATCCTTGTGGCAACACTGCTGGTCACAGGCCTCCAGTCTGAAAAGCAACCCTCCACCACCACCCTCTGTCTTCTACCTCCAAGCGTAGAAACATAGGAGCTGTAGGCGATTCAGCCCTTTGAGTTTGTACCACTATTCAATGAGATCATGGCTGATCTGTGGCATTACTTCATACACCGGCCCATATCCCTTAATACCTTTGCTGAACAAAAATGTGTCTATTCCAGATTTAAAACTACCAATGGATCCAACATCCGCTGCTGTTTGTGGGAGACAGATCCAAACATCTACCATCCTGTGCATGTAGGAGTTCTCTGAACATCTCCCCATGAATGGTCTGGTCCTAATTCTTGGACTATACCTTTTAGTTCTAGAATCCCCAACCAGTGGAAATGGTTTATCTTTATCTACCCTGTCTTTCCCTGTTAATATCTTGAAGACTTCAATCAGATCACCGCTTAACCGTCTAAACACTCAAGAAAATAGGCCTAATTTGTGTAATCTCTCCTCATAGCCCCTGAAGTCCAGGTATCATTGTTGTAAACTATACTGTACTCCCTCCAAGGCCAATATAATCCTTCCTGAGGTGTGGTGCTCCACATGGGATCTAACCATGGTTTTGTGTAACAGTAGCATAACTTCTACATCCTTGTTATCCAGTCCTTTAGATATCCCTCCACCACTGCAGAAATTCACCAAAGATCCTCAGACAGAACCTTCCAAACCCATGAACACTTTCACCTAGAAGGACAAGGGCATCAGACATATGGGAACACCACCACCTCCAAGTTCCCCTCCAAGTCACTCACCATCCTGACTTGGAAACATATCGCTGTTCCTCACTGTCGCTGGGTCAAAATCCTGGAATTTCCTCCCTAATATCATTGTGGGTAAACCCACAGCAGGAGGATTGCAGTGGTTCAAGAAGGCAGCTCACCACCACCTTCTCAAGGGGCAACTAGGGATGGGCAAGAAATGCTGGCCAGCCAGCGACGCCCACATCCCACAAATGAATCAAAAACAAAAATAAAGGCCAGCATTACATTAGCTTTCTTAATTATTTTCTCCACCTGTTTGTGGTATTTTAAAGATCTATACAACTAAATCCTCAAGCCTCTTTGGACCTCCATTGTATTTGACTTCATAAAATCTAGAAAGTATCCTAATCTGTGCTTTTTTGGTCTGAAATGGATAACAACACAATTACTTACCTTGAACTCCATCTGCCACTGTTTTGCCAATTCGCTTAGTCTGTGAATATATTTTTGTACTTTTATGCCATTATCTACACTATATACAGTGCAAAGCTCCCCTTCAAGATATCAATCCACAGTTTAATCAGATTTTGAGTTATCTGACTGAGTTTGTCGAGCTTTCATTTTGTACCTCTCCGGGAATTACAATGTGCCTCAGCTTTGAGTTAAAAACTTGGAACAGTACACCAAATTTCCTGATGCTGATACACAGTGGATTTAACATTCTCCCACTCCTTATGTGTTAACAAACAAATTTGTTGCCTATCCCCAACTTTGTGCCATCTCTATAAAGCCTCTCTCACTAAATGAGATACCATGGAAAGGGAAGCGTCCAATGTCGTTTTCTGGCATCAAAACCCAACTCACAATTCTGGAGAATTGCTAAGTCTTTTCAGTGTTTGGACATAATATACATACCAAGAAAAATTTCCAGTATCTCAGCTGAAGGTATCTTGACATTTTAGATGTTAACTTCTGCCAAGTCATTCCCATAACACCAGCATGCTCAGTTGTCCCTTTGCACTGACAATCTTCAGGCTGCTTTGCCAAGTTTGACTTCGTCTTGTCACCTCCTCATCTTCACACTCAATTAAAATTCTCATGTCCTGAGAGAAAGGTCAATCACTGTCACGAAGACAGAGGCTGGGAATTCTGTGTTGAGTAACTAACTCACCTCCTGACTCCCCAGAGCCTGTCCACCATCTACCGGCACAAGTCTGGAGTTCGAGGGAATACTCCCCACTTGCCTGGATGAGTGCCGCTCAAATAACTCTCGAGAAGCTCCAGGACAAAGCAGACCGCTTGATTGACATTGTATCCATCACCCTTTACACATTCCATACTCCATCACTCATACACAGTGACAGCAGTGTGTACCAAGGTTCCTTTGACAGTACCTACCAAACCATAGCCTCCATCATTACACAGGGCAAGGACAAGAAAAATAGGAACACCTACTTCTGCAAATTCCCCTTGAAGCCACACACTACCTTGACTTGGACCTATAACACTGGTTTTTCACTGTTGTATCAAAATCCTGGAACTGTCTCCCTGACAGTATGTATCCCTACACACTAAGGACTGCAGTAATTCTAGGGGGGGTGGGGTGGGGGGTCATCATCACCGAGGGAATTAGCGATGGACAATGTATCTATTCTGTATATTCTGAAATATCCCTGTAGATGGCTGTCATTGCATCTCTGTTGACCTATCAGTTAACATATTTTAAGACCCAGAAACCATAAGACAGAGGAGCAGAAATTAGGCCTTTCAGCCCATCAAGTCTGCTCTGCTGTTCATTCATGGCTGATAAGTTTTTCAATCCTATTCTCCTGCTTTCTCCCCATAACCCTTGATCCCCTTGACAATCAAGAACTATCTATACCCGTCTTAAATATACTCAATGACCTGGTCTCCACAGCCTTCTGTGGCAATGAATTCCATCGATTCACCGCTCTTTGGCTGAAGAAGTTTTTCCTCATCTCCTTATATGTAAAATTCAGTTATATTATGGTCATTGCTACCCGGGGTCAATCTTGTTTGAAGCTTTTGCATTTATCAATTTGAATTGAGTTTGAATGGAGATTTGAACAAAAGATTAAGTTGAAAATGTGAGGACCATTTTGTAGTGCAATTTGCACCCAAATCACTGAATCAAAGTTGAAATTCTTCTTTTAAATAAATTATTGGTTATTTGTATTCATGGAATGTAGGCTTTGCTGACTGGGCCAGCATGCCCTTGGGAAGGGGTTGGTGAGTTAACTTTTTGAACTGCTGCAGCTTGTTTGTTGTGGGTGTACCCAAAGTTCTGTTGGGGATGAAATTCCAGGATATTCTAATCTGGAATGTTTCAATGAGGGAACAGCTTAAGGTATGGTCCATCCTGAACATCCAAACTGACTAAATCCAACAGGACAATAGTATAAATACAAACAGCAGTGAGTTCCTCAGGCTCTGAGAGCCTGGTTACCAGGTTACCAAGGATGAGGACCAAAACTAAGAAAAGGTTCCATAGATTGAGAAAGTTCATACCTTTTACACGCAGAGATTTCAATTCGTCAGCAGCATTTTGCAGTAGCCCCAAAAATTCACTTTGTTCCTCAACACTCAAATGCTTTGTAAAATTGCCAGGACATTTGGCCAGTGCCTGAAGACAAAGTGAAAAAGAGATTTGAAGAAGTGGCTGTTGAGTTCTCACATGACAGAAGCTAACTTGAGTCTTTCTCTCCGTCTCCTTCTCTCTGTCCAGTTCTTTAAATATCAAAATGCTTCTGTGAGCAATTGTACAGCAGATGTTTGGCTGAGTTTGAGCTGGTGAAAGATTGAAGGATATCTGTATACTGCTCAGTTCATTACACATTCAGTCTGTGGCATTTCTACATGTCACTGAATACCAGTGCAATAGTGCACAGTGAATAAGCTGTCACAGTGTCTCCGCCTTCGTGTTCAGGGATTGGCGATTGGTACCGGTTATAAAGGATTGATCCCATGAGCTGGTTTTATTCACTTCTAGTCAGGCTGTTCCCTGATGACATGAAAGCATAAGGAAAGGAGAAGATTCATCAACCCTCTCAAACCTGCTCTGCCATTCAACAAGATCATGGTGATCACATCTTGAGTCCAGTTCTTCAAAGAGTCATACTGACACCTGCTAGGTTTCTTCAATATTTCTTTTTTCCTTCTTTGACAACAGTTACGAGGTTACAATTACTGAGACTAGCTTTCAATTCCAGATTTATTGATTTGATTTAAGCTTTTCCAGGCACTATGATAAGATTTGTCCCCACATTCCCATGGCATTAGCCTGTGCCACAGGATTATTGGTCCAGAGACATTACCATTATGCCAACATCTCTCCCATCTACTTTGATAACCAAAGATCTGTCTAACTCAGCCTTGAAGGTATTCAATGACACAGTTTCTACTGCTGTCTGTGGGGCAGAATTCCAAAGACTAACGACCTGCTGAACAAAAAGTTTCTCTACATCTCCATCTTAAATGGGGAATGTCTTACTTTGAAACTGAGGTTCCTCAGTTTTAGATTTCTCCACAAGACAGACATGTTTTCAGCATCTGGTCTCTGAAGCTCTCTCAGAGTTTGCACCTCACATTCTTTTAAACTTCATCACAAACAGACTCAACACGTTTGACCTCTCCTCATTAGATGCTCCTTTAGTCTCAGTAATCAGCTCAGAGAATTGTCTGAACTGCCATCGATCCCTCCTTAGGTAAAGCTGTTGAAATCTGCCCACAGCTCTTCCTTTGCAGTTTCATTAGTGTCCCGTGCAGTTGTGGAACAAGCCACATTCTCAACTCCTGGAAGTCAGCGAGCTCCCTCAGGATGTTGGCCATTCCGGATTCGGGTCAGGCTGAAATCAGGAATGTGACCTCCTGAAACAGGCCTGAGGCAGAAGCGAAGGTGTGCAGCTGGCAATGCATGCTGGTTAGTACACTGCTTCTGTTCACTGGGACATTGACCCAACATGTACATAGTTGTTAGGTCTTCTTGCTCTCAGGCCTTACTTTCTTAACTCGCTTTGACACCCATGCCCCCTCATACACACTCTGTCTCCAGTGTCCATATTCTTCCACGCCCCTTCTATTACCCACCGGGTTTACTCGGAGGGTTGTTTGGACTCGATGAGTTGAATGGCCTGCTTCCACATTGTAGGGATTCTATGAAGTGGTGAAATGAGGATGGAGAGAGGAGACATTTAAATGAATGGACAAGTCAATGAATTAAAAACCGAAAGAACTGCGGATGCTGTAAATCAGGAACAAAAACAGAAGTTGCTGGAAAAGCTCAGCAGGTCTGGCTATATCTGTGAAGGAAAAAACAGAGTTAACATTTCAGGTCTGGTGACCCTTCCTCAGAATAAATCACTGAAGCTACTGAATAAATTGCATTCCCATATCAGAGTCTGGTACACCTTTGTAGCGAGTGAGTGGGAGATAGGGAGCTGCGGCTGGGATTAAAACCTGAATTGAAAGGCCAGTGTTTCTCACATGAATGATGAATCTCTACAGTGTGAAAACAGGCCCTTTGGCCCAACAAATCCACACTGACCCTCAGAGGATCCCACTCAGACCCATTCCCTGAACCCACCTAGTCTACACATCCCTGAGCACTACGGGCAATTTAGCATGGCTAATCCACCTAACCTGCACATCTTTGGACTGTGGGAGGAAACTGGAGCACCTGGAGGAAACCCACGCAGACACAGGGAGAATGTGCAAACTCCACACAGACAGTCGCCTGAGGGTGGAATTGAACCCAGGTCCCTGGTGCTGTGAGGTAGCAGTGCTAACCACTGAGTCACCGCACTGCCCCATGTTTGCACTCACTGTAGTCTGTTCAACTGGGGAGCGTTGATGCTGTAAACACCAGTCCAGCTGACACACAAAGTTTGAAACATAGTTCCTGGTCTGAACAATATTCTCTCTACATGAGATCGAGGAGACAATCTTAATACTCACAGTGGAGTTATGATACTCACAGTGGAATTATGAATGTGTTACCTTTAACTTGCTGCTAAATTTCTGGTAGTTGGCATCATCAAATGTAATCTGACAGGTATCAGCCTCCTCAGTTAGGTATACCCCTAAAGGGAAAAAATGATATAACTCAAAAACTATGAATATTTGCTCAAAAATTTTACTAATCTGGTTTCTGCGATATTTCTGCATTCATCTAACATAATCTAAACTGTTTCCATTCTACATAACACAAGCTTCATGTATCCTCCATAATGTGCATGTCTATATACACACAATGGTTTCTTTACCTCTAACCAAATCTGATGTTTCTCTAAGTCATACGACACCCGGGTTACAGTCCAACAGGTTTATTTGGAATCACACAAGCTTTTGGAGCGCAACCCCTTCGTCAGGTGCAGTGAGAGAGCAGGGCACACAGACACAGAGTTTACAGGCAGAGAGATCAAGGGCGGAGAGATCAAAAGATCATACAACTGGTGTGAGTGGAGCGTTAGATGATAAGTCTCTACAGGTGACCAAGAGTGTTAGACAGTGTGTAAAGTGTTTATAAAGTCAATGTCAGTGCTGTGCTTTCCTGACAATCAGGCAGAGCCATAGGAACATACAAACGGGGACATCTCAGGTCAGACAGTGAATTGTAGATGTGAGGCTTTGTTCAGAATCTGTCTCAGAATTTTAACCTGGGATCAGGCTGGTTTTATTCCAAAAGCTGGAATTTATAAGATGCCACACTAACTGACTGTGACTACAAATAGTGTGTTTTTTAAACAAAATAGAATGTATCTGCAAATAAACAACATCTTGGATGAAATAATTCACCGATAGATAAGTGTGTGTGTGTGTGTGTGTGTAAGAGAGTGTGTGTGTGTAAGAGAGAGTGTGTGTGAGAGAGTGTGTGTGAGTGTGTGTGTGCGTAAGAGAGAGTGTGTGTATGTGTGTGTGTGTGCAAGAGAGAGTGTGTGTGTGTGTTTGTGTGTGTGTGTGTAAGAGAGAGTGCGTGTGTGTGTTTGTATGACAGACTGTGTGTGTGTGTGTGTGTAAGAGAGAGTGTGTGTGTGTTTGTGTGTAAGAGAGAGAGTGTGTGTGTGTGATTGTACGTGAGAGTGTGTGTTTGTGTCTGTGTGAAACAGTGTGTGTGTGTAAGAGTGTGTGTATGGGGAGAGTGTACTATGTAATTCAAAACTGTACAAACTAATTAAGGTAGAGAGATTATAACAATTTATCAAGGTGATGCTGTCAAAACAGGAAAATTTTACAGATACGGAGGAGTTTGGTGGCTCACCTGTAGCGCAACATGAACCCAAGATCCCGATTAAGGCCGTCCTCATGGGGACCGAACGAGGCTATCAGCCTCTGCTCGGCGATTCTACGATGTTGTGTATCTCAAAGTCCACCATGGAGGATGTTTACCCGAAGACTGGAGGCACACACTCTCACACACACACTCTCTCTCACACACACACACACTCTCTCTCACACACTCTCACACACTCACACACTCTCTCTCACACACTCACTCTCATACACACTCTCTCTCACACACTCTCACACACTCACTTACTCTCTCTCACACTCACACACATACACACTCTCTCTCACACACACACACTCACACACACACACACACACATACACACACACACACACACTCTCACACACACACTCTCTCACACACAGACACACACACACACTGTCACACACACACACACTGTCACACACACACTCTCACATATGCACTGTCACACACGTACACACACTCTCACACACAGATGCACACACACACACTCTCACACATGCACACACACACTCTCACAGTCTCACACACACACTCACACACAGTCTCATGCACACACTCTTTCACATACACACACACTCTCTAACACAAACACTCTCTTATGCACATAATCACACAGACCCTCTCTCATACACATACACTCTCTCGCACTCGTACACACGACAAACACACACACACACACACACATTGATTGACATTGACATTATAAACACTTTACTCACTGTCTAACACTCTTGGTCACCTGCAAAGACTTATTATCTGACACTCCACTAACACCAATTGTATGATCTTTTGATCTCTCTGCCCTGATCTCTCTGCCTGTAAACTCTGTGTCTGTGTGCCCTGCTCTCTCACTGCACCTACAAAAGCTTGTGTTTTCAAATAAACCTGTTGGACAATAACCTGGTGTCGTGTGACCTCTGACTTTGTCCACCCCTTTTCAACACTGGCACCTCCACATCATCACTAATTTCTGGTTTAGACGCTCTCTACTTTCTAGATCAGGTTTGATTCTTGATGGCATAACTTACAAACATACAAATAAGGAACAAGAGTAGGCCACTTGGTCCTTCAAGCCTGTTCTGCCCTTCAATAAGGTCATGGTTCATCTGATTTTAACCTCATCCCTACATTCCTGCATCTCCCTGATAACCTTTCATCTCCTTTGAAATCAAGAATCTATCTACCCTCTGCCTTAAAAATTTTTAAAGATTCAGCATCCACTGCCCTTTGAGGAAGGGAATTCCAAAGATTGACAATCCTCTGAGAGAAAAAAAAATACATTTCCTTATCTCTGTCCTAAAAAGGTGACCCCTTATTTTCAAATTATGGTCCCTAGTTCTAGATTCCCCCACTCAAGAAGAATCATTCTTTTGACATCTCAAAGTCCCCTCAGGATCTTATATCTTTCAACTGTGTCACCTCTGTAGGCATTCTGGTTTGCGATCAGTAATCTGCTGATTTTTAGGTGGTTCAAGTCACCCCCAGATCCCTGGTTCTGACACTGGACTTATTTAGGGAATGTTAAATGAAGAAGGCAGATAGACAGGCGTTTCAGGGCAAAAGAATATCTGCGTTTATTAAATACAAAAGGTAAGTATATTTCAAGAAATAAAAGGCAAATACAATAAGCAGTGAAATTGACGCTATCAATTGTACAGAGGACAGTAACTAAATACATTATTAAATCCAAAACGTCCGAAGCACTATTAGAACTAAACAACAGGGTTTGGATCACAGAAACGTTTAGTCAGGCTTGGAGTCTCCACCCTGTCACTAACCACCTTCCTCTCCCTGCTAGCTTGGTTAGAAATTTTGGGGTCCTGGGACTTTTAAGCTCACCACTGGGGATAAACACTGTTTTGAAATACAGTTGGCCATTCCTGCTTGCCGTACCCGGTGCCTTGATGAAGACTTTGGACAGTGTAGGTCTTCAGCCTGGGTTGAGTCTGTGGTAGGACGAGTAGTGGATTTATCGGGTGAGTACTTGGTTTTCCTTACTTTATGGTGGATTATGCGAGCTGGTTTTCACCCCAGTATGTGCCTGAGGCCTTGTGGTGTCGGTCGGGTCAGTAGTTTTGTCAGATCTGCTGGTCGGGGACGGTCGCCGTTGGTTATCCTGGTACGGAACAGGCCTGTGTCAGGAGTTTTTTGGGATTGCTGTCGGGATCCCTCTTCCGGAGATAGCGGTACAGATAGTTCTCGGGGAGAATTACCCCCAGGTGAGATCGGGGCCTGTAATTATACTAATTGTGGGTTTCTTATCTTCGTGCTAAATCTGTGCTTGACATTGTGTCACTGGTGTTCACTTTGAGGCAATTGGTTCCCTGACAGGAGTAGGTGTGAATGTATTTTGATTAAATGAAATGTCCAGTATCTCTGTGTATGAATGATGATCAAAGTTGAATAGAACGTAGAACAGTACAGCACAGTACAGGCCCTTCAGCCCACAATGTTGTGCCGACCTATTATCTTACTCTAAGATCAAACTACCCTGCAAACCCTACATTTTATTATCGTCCCTCTGCCTATCCAAGAGTTGCTTAAATGTCCCTCAAGTATCTGACTCTACTACCATTGCCAGCAGCACATTCCACACACCCACCACTCTCTGTGTAAAGAATCTACCTCTGACATCTCCCCTATACCTTCCTCCAATCACCTTAAAATTATGCCCCCTCATAATAGTCATTTCTGCCCTGGGAAAAGGTCTCTGGGTACCCACTCTTTCTATGCTTCTCATCATCTTGTACACCTCTATCAAGTCACCTCTTATCCTTCTTCGCTCTAATGAAAAAAGCCTGAGCTCCCTCAACCTTTCCTCATAAGACCTGCCCTCCAGTCCAGGCAGCATCCTGGTAAATCTCTTCTGTACCCTCTCTAAAGCTTCCACATCCTTAATGAGGTGACTAGAACTGAACACAATATCCCAAGTGTGGTCTCACCAGGGTTTTATAGAGCTGCAGCAAAACCTCGCAGCTCTTAAACTCAATTCCCCTGCCAATGAAAGCCAACGCACCATACACTTTCTTAACAACCCTATCAACTTGGGTAGCAACTTTGAGGGATCTATGGACATGGACCCGAAGATCCCTCTGTTCCTCCACACTGCGGAGAATCCTATCATTAACCCTGTATTCTGCATTCAAATTCGACCTTCCAAAATGAATCACTTCACATTTTTCCGGGTTGAATTCCATCTGCCACTTCTTTGCCCAGCTCTGCATCCTGTCAATGTCCCGTTGCAATCTACAACAGCCCTCCACACTGTCCACAACTCCACTACCCTTTGTGTCATTGGCAAACTTATTAACTCATCCTTCCACTTCCTCATCCAAGTCATTTATAAAGATCACAAAGACCAGAGGCCCCAGAACAGATCCCTGCGGAACACCACTGGTCATCGAGCTCCAGCTGACTACTTTCCAACTACTACCACCCTCTGTCTTCTATTGGACAGCCAGTTTTGTATCCAGACAGCCAAATTTCCCTGAATCCCATGCCTCCTTACTTTCTGAATGAGCCTACCATGAGGAACCTTATCAAATGCTTTGCTAAAATCCAGATACATCACATCCACTGCTCTACCTTCATCAATGTGTTTTGTCACATCCTCAAAGAATTCAATAAGGCTTGTGAGGCATGACCTGGCTCTCAGAAAGCCAGGCTGACTATTTCTAATCAAACTGTGCTTTTCCAAATAATCATAAATACTATCTCTCAGAATTCACTCCATTAATTTGCCCACCACAGAAGTAAGACTGACTGGTCTGTAATTCCCAGGATTATCCCTATTCCCTTTCTTGAACAAGGGAATGACATTTGCCACCCTCCAATCTTCTGGTACTACTCCAGTGGACAGTGAGGACGCAAGGATCATCGCCAAAGGGGCAGCAATCTCTTTCTTCACTTCCCATAGCAACCTTGGGTATATCCCGTCTGGCCCAGGGGGCTTATCTATCCTCATGTTTTTCAAAATTTCTAGCACATCCTCCTTCCTAACATCAACCTGTTCGAGCATATCTGCCTGTTTCATGCTGTCCTCACAAACGTCAAGGTCCCTCTCATTGGTGAATACTGAAGCAAAGTACCCTCACTCTGGCCATCCTCTTGTTCCTCACGTAAGTATAGAATGCCTTGGGGTTTTCCTTAATCCTACCCGCCAAGGCTTTTTCATACCCCCTTCTAACTCTCCTAAGTCCATTCTTCAGTTCCTTCCTGGCTACCTTGTAGCCCTCTAGAGCCCTGTTCGATCCTTGCTTCCTCAACCTTAAGTAAGCTTCCTTCTTCCTCTCAACTAGGTGTTCCATATGTCTTGTCATCCAAGGTTCCTTCACCTTACCATCCCTTCCTCGCCTCAGTGTAACCTATCCAGTACACGTAGCAAGCTCTCCCTAAACAACCTCCACATTTCTGTCCTGCATTTCCCTGACAACATCTGATCCCAATTTATGCTCTGTAGCTCTTGCCTAATAGCATGGTAATTCCCCCTCCCCCAATTAAATACTTTCCCATACCGTCTGCTCCTATCCCTGTCCATGACAATAGTAAAGGTCAGGGAGTTGTGATCACTGTCACCGAAATGCTCTCCCACCGATAGCTCTGACACCTGGCCTGGTTCGTTGCCACGCACCAAATCCAATATGGCCTCCCCTCTAGTCAGCCTATCTACATATTGAGTCAGGAATCCTTCCTGGACACACCTGACAAAATCTGCTCTTTCCAAACTATTTGGACTTAGGAGGTTCCAGTCTATATTAGGGAAGTTGAAGTCATCCATGACAACAACCCTATTACTTCTGCACCTTTCCAAAATCTGCCTCCCAATCTGTTCCTCAGTGTCTCTGTTGCTATTGGGGCGTCTATAGAAAACTCCCAATAAAGTGACTGCTCCTTTCCTGTTTCTGACTTCCACCCATACTGACTGAGTCGACAAACCCTCCTCCACGACCTCCCTTTCTGCAGCTGTGATACCATCCCTGATTAGCAATGCCACACCCCCACCTCTTTTACCTCCCTCCCTATTTCTTTTGAAACATCTAAACCCCGGAACATCCAGCAACCATTCCTGCCCCTGTGATATCCAAGTCTCTGTTATGGCCACAACATCTGGAATCAGAATGTCTGGTCTCTGCAGAGGCCCCATTCTGTTTGGGTTGGGTAGGGTTTAGGCCTGGTTGATTGTTCTTTCAGAGTGAATGTGTGAATTGGATTTTCGGTTCGAAGCAGCTATGTCTGCATCTGTGTAATTTTCCCAGAGCATAGCCCAGCTTCCTTTTTTAAAAAACTTTTAAAAGCTTTTGCAAAGTCCAGAGTTATGGTTCAGTATTATAGATGATGGGGGTTTTTGCTCAATCCTACACCTCTGACTCTTCTAAACTGCAGAGGATTCAGGGCTAGTCCATCCAGACTTTCCTCTTAAAGCAATCTGCTCATTCCAGGTGTGAGTATGAACTGTTTCCAACGTGTTATAATCCTTCCTTCTGTAATTATGCACACAATAAGTCTCCCTGCACTGTTTCATTTTAATCTCTACATTGAGAGTCATCCAGGAAACTCTAGTTTCCAATGTCCTTCCATTCCCCACTTTGTGACAGGCTGTTTGACCTCCTCCTCTGCTGTTAGATTCCTGAATTCTGGGGGCACATCCCCCACCAAGGTGGGAATGTTGGCTGGGATGGGGTCAGGTTAGGCTAAAAGCGCTGACGTTGAGCTGTTGGGGCAGCTGCAGGACATTGGTTGAAGCAATTTGGAGGAGGGCTTGTGTGTATCAATCGGACTGGGTACCCATTTCCAGGCCAACATGCCAACCTCTTGTTCTGGCCTGACAAGCTTCTACTGCCTACAAGAGTGGGGGCTTGGCCAAAGGCCACTCTGTGGAGGGGGTGGTCCCTTCTCATTTTCTCCCACTCTGATGTCACTCTTTGTTTTGTTTCTTTTAGACATAGAATCCCTACAGTGTGGAAACAGGCCCTACAAGTCCACACCGACCCACAGAGCATCCCACCCAGACCCATCCCCCTATAACCCACCTACACATGTAATCTACACATCCCTGAACACTACGGGCAATTTAGCACGGCCAATCCACCCAACCTGCACATCTTTGGACTGTGGGAGGAAACCGGAGCACCCAGAGGAAACCCACGCAGACACGGGGAGAATGTGAAAACTCCACATAGACAGTCACCCGAGGCTGGAATGAAACCCGGGTCCCTGGCACTGTGAGGCAGCAGTGCTAACCACTGAGCCACTGTGCTGCTCCTTTAAAAAGTGGCTGAGGGGTCACCTTCCTTGTTGGAACGTACCCTCTGTTACTTGCCCCTCACTGTAGTTGGGTGCTCCTCTGAAGCAGCAAGGCCCCAGATTGACATTCCATCTTCAAAAGGACGGCTGCCATGTTTAATTTTTCAGGGACCCATCTCCAGGCCCCCTAAAAGTTTTTTTATTATCACCCCACAACCTGAGGTAGATTTTCAACCCAAAACCAAACCCATTTCCTGTTTTCCAATTCTGCAAGTTGATTTCAGGATTTGATCAAGTTTGGGGGCTCTTTGTTTCTCTAGGTCCCACTCAGACACACCACATGGCTCTTGTATTAACGCTAGTGGTGAGCACTTTAAACACATAATGGTTAGACTCACTGCCCCTACTCTCTCTTCTTGGCATTAATCCAGTTACAGGCGCCAAGTTGGGAAGGGCATCTACACTACGTATTTTGCAAAAGAAAGGCTAAGCCTTGATTAGACCTGTAAAGATTTATTACAGAGTATTTATTAGCTCATACATTACAGCTAAAGGTACTTGATCACCTCTTGTGAAGACATTAGGCTCAACTTAAGAGAAATGGTAAGGAGCTGTTGTAACCAATGGTAGTGTCCATTCCTCTGAGCCAGAGGGCCTGTGTTCAAATCCCACTTGCTCCAGGGGTGCGTTATAACATCTCTAAAACAGGTCAATTAGAACAATCTCAGAGTAAGTGCACGCTGCTGCTTTAGGCACATGCTGTTGATCATTGAGGCACTCATTATGAGGTACACAACTCTTAGCTCCTCCCAGGAACAGTCCTCCATCTTCTGACGGGTGAAACTTAACTTGTAATGTGCGTTAACCCTTTCCGGTATACACCATCCTTACTTAGTAATTTGCACAATGGTTCTCAGAGGAGAGAGTTACACTAAAGGCCAGAGAGCCTTGGGAGCTGAGGCACATCCATAAACACATAGAAGGTAGGAGAGGAGGAGGCCATTCGGTCCTTTCAGTCTGTTCTGCCATTCATATGATTGTTCTATTACATCTAAGATGCTGTGATTTTCTCCGGTGAGACAAGATACAGAAAGGAAGACCAGCTTGGACTTCTAAAGCTTTTCACAGCCTTGGAACATTAAGATTCACCACACTGAGTCCTTTCGAGGTACAAAGTCACTGTTGTAATGTAGGAAATGGTGAGTGGGAGTTAACAGCACAATCAGGTTAATTGGCCAAGTCAAACAAAACCGGAACTCTGACTCACTCCCTATTCACTGCATTCTTCCACCTAGGTCAATCTCACCTTCCTGTTCACTCACTTGAAATGATTCTGTAAACAACTATCAAATTCCCTTCATTTAAGAAGATTACTTAAAGACTTAGCATCTAACCCTTACATCGCCTGTAGGTGGTGGTTATTTCACTCCTTAACTTAGTCAATACTTCTTTCTTTTCACTCCATTTTGACCCTTTTTTCATGGATCTTTAGTGCACACTGCTGGTTACACAGATTCGAGCTTACCTGGGACCAGAGTGCACATTACAGTGCTCAATACAAGAACTGTTTGCAGTCTGTGATCCATATCTGCTTGCTTCAGCTCTGCTCAGCAATGGCCAGTTTAACGTGCCCTTGGAGTGTGGGTTTATATTGCAAACAGTGAAGGGGGAGAGGACAAGCAGAAATTATATTTGGTGAATCATTAAACAAACTGAAGTGCCTCCTGATCGATCTGATTGTTTCGTGCAGGGAAACGCATTTAGAAAAGCCAGCAAGATCTCTCAGTTGATCTGCTTTCTCAAGGTTGACATTTCCAGTTCTGAATGACTACACAGTCACACAAATAGCTCATTTTGAAATATATCCTTAGAAACAACTTTTTCTTATTAACGGGAATGGGTGGGGAGGACAAAAGAGGATGACAGCAGAGACAAGTACAGGGAAAGGACTTTATAGTTTTGAAGTGCAACATCAAATTCTACAAGTATTGGAAAGAAAGTTTCAGGAAGAATGGAAAGTTTTGCATTTACATACCACCTTTCATCAAATCAAGAAGCCTCAAAGTAGGACTTAGGACTTTTTGGAGCAAAAGTTGGCCACTCAGCCCTTTGGGCATCATAATGTAAATAATGCCAGGAATAACTCCACGGAGGTTGGTATCCCATCTCCAAGTCACCCTTTATTTATCCGTGCACAGTACATGGGCTCTGACCAACCAGCTCAGAGCCAGTCCCTAGAGTGAGGAATATTCCTCAGACTCCTGTCTATAGCTGTCAGCCAGGACTGTCTGATTGGCCCAGGTTAACAGCCCTATTTGGGCATCTCATATTCAATGAGATTCACCTACTCAACCTCATTCCAATCACTACAATGCAGCAATGAATTTTGTACACAAACAGCAATATAACAAATTGGAAAATATCTACTTGATCTTCCTTTCGCTAATCCATGTATCACAGATGATATCAGTGGTAGGAGTAACCATCACAGTCCCATCTTCACGCTGAGGACAGTCGCTGCCATTTTACCCTTATAACAACTGCCATGCTGACTGGGATAGATTGAGAACATACCTAGCAGAGTGAAATTAGGCTTCCAGGGAATGGCCTTAGCTCATCGTCACCAGAAGAATTGTACTCACTGACGATGTGTGACCTCAGGGATAAATGTTCCCCCATTCTCATTAAGGTGGAAGATCTACCCTGGTTCAATGAAGAGTGCAGGAGGGCAGGAGGAGCACCAGATGTGCCTGAAAATGAGCTGTCAGCCTGGTGAAGCTACAACACAAGACTACTTGTGTGCCAAGAAATAGCATGCAATCGACATGGCGAAACAATCCCACCACCAATGGATTAGATCTAAGCTCTGCAGTTCTGCCACATCCAGTTGTGAATGGTGGTGGACAATTAAACAACTCCATGGAGGAGCAGACTCCACAAATATCCCCTTCCTCAATGATGGAAGAGTCCAGCACATCCACATAAAATGTAAGGCTGAAGCAGTCACAGCAATCGTCAGACAGAAGTGTCCAAGTGGATGATCTATCTGAGCCTTGTGCTAAGGTCTCTACTATCACAGATGCCAGTCTTTAGACATTTCGACTGACTCCACGTGATACGAAGAAATGGCTGAAAGCACTGGGCACTGCAAAGGCTATGGTCCTGACAAAATCCCTGCTGTGGTACCAAAGACTTCTGTTCCACAATATGCCACGTCCCTAAGCCAAGCTGTTCCAACATAGGCACGGACAGCGACGGACAATGAGGAAAGTTGCTCAGGTATATTCTAAGCGCAAAAAGCAGCACAAATCTGACCTGGCCGATTACTGCCCCATCAGTCTGGTCTTTCTCATCAGTAAACTGATGGAAGGAGTCAACAACATGACTATCAAATGACACTTGCAAAGGATCAACCTGTTTACTGATGGTTAGTTTGGGCTCCACAGGGCTGCCCAGTTTCCAACCTCCTTTTAGTCTTTGTCCAAACATTGACAAAAGAACCCAACTCCAGATGTTATTTGAGAGTGACGGCTCTTGAAATCGAGGCAGCATATGGACCAAGTGTGGCATTAAGAACCTAAGCAAAATTGGAGTCAATGAGAATCAGGTGAAATCTCTCCACTGGTTGGAGTAATACTGAGCAGAAAGGAAGCTACTTATGGTTGGTGGAGGCTAATCATCAGAGTCCTAGGCCAGCACGAAAGGAGGAGGGGAGGCAGTGGCATAGTGGATATGTCACTAGACTAGTAGTGTCCTAAGGGCAAGGGTTGAATTTCCACCATGGCAGGTTGTGGGAATTGAATTCAACCTTTTGAAATAAAAACCTGGATACAATCCTAGATAACAAGGTGTAGAGCTGGATTAATACAGCAGGCCGAGCAGCATCAGAGGAGCAGGAAGGCTGATGTTTTGGGCCTAGACCCTTCTTCAGAAAATGTTCAGAAATTGTTCTTCAGAACAATCCTAGCAAAGTGACTGTGTAACCAGCCATGATTGTTGTAAAAAAATCCATCTGTTTTGCTAATGCCCTTTTAAGGAAAGAAATCTGCCATCTTGGCCTGGTTTGGCCTACATGTGACTCCAGACCCACTGAAATGTGGTTGACTCTTAACTGCCCTCTGGGAAATTAGGGATAGGGAATGAATGCTGGCCTAGCCAGAGACACGCACATCCCATGCACAAATAAAAATAGAAGTTCCTTAGGGTAGTGTCCTAGGCCCAACCATCTTCAGCTGTTTCATCAGTGACCTTCCCTCCATCCTAAGTTTAGAAGTGGGATGCTGCACAATGTTCAGCACCATTCATGATTCCTCAGATAGTGAAGCAATCCATGTCCATACGTAGCAAGACCTGGACAATACCTAGGCTTGGGCTGATAAGTGCAAGTAATATTCATGCCACACAACTGCCAGGCAATGATCATATCCAACAAGAGAGTATTTAACTAGTGTTCCTTGATATCGAATGGCATATCAAAACTGAATCCACCACTATCAAGATCCTAGGGGTTACCATTGATCAGAAAATGAAATGCACCATTGATATTAGAACTGATGGAATGCTCCCTGCTTACCCAGATTAGTAGAGCTCCAACATTCAGAAAGCTTGACACCATCCCGGCAAAAGCAGTTTGCTTGTTGAGCATGCCTTCTATCACTTTCAGCATTTGCTCCCTTCACCAATGAAACACAGTAGCAACAGTGTGTACCAACTACAAAATGCACTGCAGAAATTCACCAATGCTCTTCTGGCAACACCTTCCAAAGCCAAAACTTCAACAACCTGGAAAGACAAGGGCAACAGATACATAGGAGCACCAAGGCCTGCAAAATCCTGACTTGGAACTTGGGGCACCACTCATTGACAGTCACTGGGCAAAGATCCTGTAACTCCCTCCTGACAGCACTGTGAGTTTCTACCACACATGGAGCGGAACAGTTCAAGAAGGCAGCTCAACGTTACCTTCTCCAGGGCAATTAGGGATGAGGAGCACTTTTGGATACAGAACCGTTAGCAGCCCTGTCAATATGATTCCCTTAATGCTCCCAGATCTGAGAGGTTAGAATTGTCAGGATTAAAGTGCATAGCCTAGGGTCAATTCTTCACAAAGGACCAGGTTGTGAGATAAGGGTCTTTAAAATTATGAAAGGTTTTAACAGGTTAGATGCGAAGGAAAATTTTCCACCTGTAGCGGAGGTGAAAACCAGCAGCTGTAAATACAATGAAAGCAAAATACTATGGATGCTAGAAATCTGAAATGTGAAGAATCACATCAAACTCAAAATTTTAATTCTGTTTTTCTGTCCATACGTACTGCCAACTCTATTGAGTTTCCTTAGCTATAAGCACACTATTGTCACTAATAACCCAAGGCGAGATTTCAGGACAAACCTCTTTTTCTTTAGAAAGGTTAGAATGTGGAATTCACTGCTACAGGGTGTGTTTGAAGTGAAACCACGGCTGCATTTAAGGGAAAGCTTGGGAAACACATGATGAAGGAGCAATACTTGGAAGGATTGGCTATTTGAGTTATAGAAACATAGGGAAAGGGGTAAGCTAATCAGCCCTTGAACTTGGTCTGCCATTCAAGAACAGCATGGCTGACCTGTGGCCTAGCTCCATATACCTGTCTTGGGCACATAATCCCTTGAAATCATTGCTTAATAAAAATTTTCTATCTCAAATTTAAATTGAACAATTGAATTAACATCTACCCTCATTTGAGGAAGAGAGTTCCAGACCTCTGCAAATTTCTGTATGCAGAAATGCTTTCTAACATCTCTCCTGAATGGCCTGGCCCCAATTTTTAGACTGTGCCCCCGGTCCTCAAGTCTTCAACCAGTGGAAATAGTTTATCTTTATCTACCCTGTCTTTCCCTGGTAATATCATAGAATAGAAGAATAGATCATAGAATCCCTACAGTATGGAAACAGGCCCTTTGACCCAACATGTCCACACTGACCCACAGAGCATCCCACCCAGACACATCCCCCTATAACCCACCTAAACTACACATCCCTGAACACCATGGACAAGTTAGCATGGCCAATCCACCTAGACTGCACATCTTTGGATTGTGGGAAGAAACCGGAGCACCTGGAGGAAACCCACGCAGGCACAGAGAGAATGTGCAAACTCCACACAGACAGTCGCCCAAGGGTGGAATCAAACCTGGGTCCCTGGTGCTGTGAGGCAGCAGTGCTAACCACTGAACCACTGTGCCACCCTAAGTTCCTGAAGAAAGTTTCCGAAGACATCTTAAGATCACCCCTTAGCTTTCTAAATTAGAGAGAATAAAGGCCTAATTTATCTAATCTCTGCTCATAAGCACTGAAGTCCAGGTGTCATTCCTGTAAACCTGTGTTGAACTCCCATCAGAACCAAAACATCCCTCCTAAGGTGTGGTGCCCAGATCTGTTCACGCTACTGTAAGTGGATTCTAACTATATTTTGTATAACTGCAGCATAATGTCTGCATTCTTCTACTCCAGGGATGTGAAGATATGAAGGCCAGCATTCCATTAGCTTTCTCGAATATTTTCTGCACCTGTTTGTGGCATTTTAAAGAGCTATGCCCCTGAACCCCCAAATTTTATTGGACATCCACTGTATTTAACTTTGTTGAACGACAGGAGGGG